TGTCATATATTTAAATAGAAACTCACCCAATAATCTCCTATCCTAATCAAGTGATTGTTGATGGGATTAATCTCCTGCTCCTAGTCAAGTCAAGTCTATGGAGGAGAAGTGATCAATTGCCGATAGTTTCTGTTACATAATTTTGACATTGACATGTGGGAGATCAAGCTCTCAATTGTGCTACTGAAAACAGGGCGCTACAAATAAATCAATAGATCTACCTCATGAGATTTTCACAGCGTGATTTAGCTAATACAAATAGCTAGTGCAGTCCATGTTCCTTGTCACGTACCCCAGGAAATGTTGACTGGCATTATTTGCAGGGGGCCACTCTAATCTGCCTGATTAAACCTAGCAATACAGTGTGAAGTTCAGCAGCTTCTTGATGAACCAGCAGAAAGTTGCACAGTGGGTGGTTTTTCTATTGCGATTGCTATTATTGTGATTTCTATTTTCTATAGTGATAGGACAATTGGCACTCGAAACTAGTTGCCAGGCCCAAATGTATTGCCTCTGTGGGGTGGATTCTGTTCTTTACAACTGATTTTGCTACACCGATTAGACTGCACAGTGCCTGCAGTGCAATCTAAACCAACAGCAGTTCAAAGATCTAATGAAAGAAATCCATGCAAATCAGGTGTAGTAGTATTTTGTTTGGCAGGAGCTTGGAAGACTGCACTGCCTGTGTCCTGTAGGAAAGCAAGTGTAGGCTAATCCCTACTGATGAACAGAAAAGGCCCAACTCCCAGATGGGACTAATAAAAAGTTTTGTTAGTGTTATTCAGCTTGTTTGCCTCAAAAAAGGTTTTGTTACAAAGATGCACTTTTGCAAAGCTGTAATAAACAGACAAGATAATGACAACTGCAGAGGTGGTGGGGGGGGAATCAATAGCTGGGCTTAGGGCACACATGTGCATTGTGGCAACACACCTGCTCTATGTGCATATTCATTGTGAATGGTGCTCCAAAAGCAGTGTAGAGTGCAGCACACCACAACCCACATACTATGTGTCACAATACACTGCATTGCTGCTGAATAAAACAAAAGTTATATGCTATTAACAAAAGGGGATGAAGGTAAAAGTGGATTTGTACAGATTTTTCACATCTGCTATCTAAAGACTACTACAAAGCCATGACAGGAGAGTGAAATAAAGAGCTTACAACAGTCTTTGTGTCCAGATACTGTTAGATGGGTACGCAAAAAGAATGACAAGGGTTTAAAAAGTAAAGTAAAATTACTACTTGCCCAGTTTGTCCACAATACCGCATATCAAAACAAACTCATATAACTCACCTTGCACTGTTGCCTTCATGCCTCTCTGTAAGCATCAAGGGACGCAAACAAAGGTTTCAGCACTGCAAGGACTGCTCAACGGAATCAAGTGTTTGGAGTGAATTAGCAAATCTGTTCTTGGTTGAATTGCCTCCAAATCTTAGTGCAATACCCTGCAAATTGATCTGTCAGCATACCTCATGGCTTCCTTTACCTACACACCTAACGTGCAAACCCCCCCCCAAAACAAAACACAGACACATGTCTAGGTGTGAAAATAAAGTTAAACTCACCCGAACCTCACAGCCAGTCTCCTTCTCCAGGCCAGGGATGGAATGTCCCTCAGCGTCCTCATGACCAGTAGAAAGTGTATTGGCCGTGATGACATACAGGACCTTAGACCACTGGAGCGGAGGGGGAGAGAGGCTGGAAGAAGCAGTATAAAGGCCGTGACACACTGCACGCAAAGCCGTGCAGAGCGAAGCAAAGCTATCCGGCTCGGAGCTTTGCGTGCAGTGTGTGAGCTGAGTGCAGTCAGATGATTGACAGCACCTTCAGCCAATCTGCTCGTCCGTAACAACCTGCCAGCTGTCGCATCGCGACGCGCTGGTTTATACGCGCGAGCCGATTGGCTGAAGTTGAAATTGTTCATCTCGGCACGCTCAGCTCTGCGAGCTCTCGCAAGCTGAGGTGCCGAGCAGAAAAGGACATGACACAGGCAGCGCGCCCCCGCACCGCGCTGCTTCGCGTGCAGTGTGTCACGGCCTTAAGAGCCAGCCTCCGAGGACCAGGCAAGTATAACTTTTTTTTTCACACCTAGACAAAAACGAGCACTTGCAGTGCGGGGGTAGCCACACTGCAAGGGTTAAAACATTTTCCCCCCCATTCTTCTTTAAAGCCAAGATCTCCAGTATTGCTTTTATTATGTAAAACGAGAAGGTGTTAGTCATGTACACGACAGAAGCAGTAAACTTCCAGCCCATGGTATTTTATCCCCTACAAGAAGCAAGGCAGGTCCCACTTGGCATCATAAAATACCTCATAACCCCGCCTGCCTCTGGCTCAGTCTCTTGTTCCGAACCTTGAAATGTGGTTCAAGAAAACAGCCCCTTTTGTCGTCAATGCACTGCATTGTAAAATTCTCTGCATAGCATATCTGGGGGATGTGGAACAAAAAAAAAAAAAAAGCAAGTGCTTGCAACGCACAAACATTTTAAATACAAGAGAAATCAGTCCTGCATCAGTAATATACATACTAATGTCACACAATGGCTGAATTCACATATCCCAAATTGATATCACCGTCTTGGTTTGTGAATAATTTCTCTGTGTGCTCCCTCACTATTTCCCATTAGGAGTTATCTTCCAAATCTGACTAAATGGGAAGAAGAATTATCATTTTCTAAGATGACTACATCTGGAGTTTTCATTTCACAAATATCTGCAGGCTTCCAAGGAGCTTAAAATATACAGACGCTACCCATTCAAAAATTAAACAAGTTTTATTCTGTGAAAGATTTGAAAGAACACTCCAACATACAAAACAACCTATTCATTTAGAACCCACATTATTCCAGTCTTGGATAGAGTGGGGAACAGTTAGAGCTTACGTCAGGCTTTTACTGCAGTCTGTGACCCATGATAACTTTCCCATCACTTTCTGTCCCAGTGACCCCCAAACAATGGAAATGGATGTCATCAAGGCAGAATGTAAAAGAAAAATGAAAAAGCTTAACATAGTAATTCTAACTCTTCACCACTGCTGAAACGTGCTCTTACTTACTGTCCCCGTGACAGGACATAGGGGGGAACCTCCCCAATAGGAATACAGGCAACAACCAAAATCTGTCAAAAGGTGCTAAGTGTACCTCACTTGGGATCAGGCTTTGAAACAACCCCGTCAGAACAAAAACAAAATAATTAAAGAACTATGGGGTCAGTGTTTTTCCCCATAGTTCTCCTCAGGGTCACAGGAGGATGCTAGTTTATGTTCTCTAAAGCTCAGTATATCGCGAGCTACATTACTGTCTAGATCCACCCAGCTGCGTGATTGACAGCTGGCTCTGCCTATCTAGAGGCAGAGCCAGCTGTACCTGCCCCCTCCAGTCAGTGCTTTAGGATCGCAGAGGGTAGGCTGGAATCCCTGCAGGGAGCCGGGAGTGACGGTCACGGTTCTCTGCAGGGAGATGATCGAGAAGTGAGCGAGCGACGGTATGTGTTCGCTTACTTCCCGATCTATTGAGCCGACGTGTGACAGTTTCATTGTCACAAGTCAGCTCGAACTATGAGGCTGAGTGAAAATCACTCACCTCAAATTTCTCCTTTAAGCTCAGTCTTTTTAAACTGAAAAAAAAAAGACCATTCATATACCGCTTATTTAATTATTGCACAATCATACAATATTTCCCTTGAAATACTATCATCTGCCATACAGATACTGGAGAATTACACAGCCTGGCAGTTTCTACCTCCTGCACCAATCCTATTCTTTTGTTGGGATGAATTAGTCCCCTTAGGTAAAAACACAGAAAAGGGAATTTATCAAAATCTGGAGCAGCTGTGCACAGCAACCAATCAGCTTCTCTCTTTCATTTTCAAATCTTAACTGAAAAAACGGAAGAGAGAAACTGATTGGTTGCCATGGACAACTGCTATATATTCTGTCTGCTTCAGTTTTGATAAATTCCCCTCAGAGTATCTGAAGCAAATAGCCACATTAACTGAACCCTGTTTTCCCAGAGGTGCTGCTGGGCTGCATTTCTGTCTAAATTCCTAAATTGTTTTCTGTAGCTTCTGCCTGGTCAGCAATAGCGTGGTTCTCCTCACACATTTCTGTGCTAGTGAAAAAGATACAGTTAATGGCCCCTTAAAGAGGAACTTTACCCATATCTTTAAAATGACAGCAAAGGCACATTTAGAATGTTTAGTAATAACAATCTACAAACACACATGTACTTCTAGATATTTGCCGGCTTTGTATTCTTTGCATACCTTGTTTTTCTTTTACTCTCCATTCTTCTCACAGTGGCCATTTTTACTAAGGGCAGATTAATCTATGTCCCTTTACTTCTGGCACATGTGACTAGGACATGTGACCATGCACATCATCTCAAAGGAGAAAAATGCCTTTCCCTGAGATCACAGATGAGATTTCCCAGCAATGTTCTGCTGATGTAACCTTCCCAGGATGCAACACTTGGGCACATTACATCACTAATGCCCAAGAGGACCAGGAAGTGGAAAAGCAGTAACGAAGTAAAAGCAAAATATGTTTGTTAACCTAATCAAAACATGATTTCATATAAGAATGCAGAACCGCATGTGGATATGATTTTTAGTGAAGGGGGGGTAAAGGTCCACTTTAAGTCTGGCTTTGACATTTATTGGGTGACTGCTACATAATGAACGCAGTCATGGCACAAGATACAGAAACATTTAGAGAAAAAAATATATATTTTACTCAGACCTACAGAGCCTTAGTGTTTAATTAGCAGGAAAGGATAAAATAAACATATGCAGCACATTTGCTGTGCAAATCAAAGTTCCTAACACTTTTGGTTTTATGGCATTGGTATGATACTGAGTTGTTGTCCGTTGTCACAGTTTTTTCAGTCCCAGCAAGTGCATCCTCACCACCTATCCAGCAAACATAGATTTGTCAATGTAACTCGATTAATTTAGTCTTAATACAGTCATTAACACAATGATCCCGGAGTCTATTAGTCTATGAAGAATCATATGTGACATCAGGAGTGTCATCTGCAATGCTGACACAAGCCTGCAACTCTTCTAGATTGTACTCCTCCTTGCTGCTAGAAAAATCCAGGCTGTCAAAAGAAGAAGATCCAAAATTATTAACACCAAATACTTTCAGCTGTTCCTCAGAGATGCATCTCAGCAGGATTTCCGTGCCCCGGAAGTGTTTACGATTTAACGTTTCTGCACTAGCCGCTTCCTTTTCACTCGAGAATTTAACCAGTGCTTCACCGAGGCCATCCCCATTATCGTCTTGTAACAGAGAGATGTCGTCTTCATTTAAAGCAAATCCTGTTAAAAAGTTTAATACGTCATGTTTGTTTACATCAGCTGCAAAGTTTCTTAGATAGACGCACGTCAGTTTGGATCCTGAACTACTTGTACTAGGCGACTCCTCCTCTGAAACGAAATCCTCCTCCGAAACGAAGTCCTCCTCCGAAATGAAGTCCTCCTCCGAAACTAAATCCTTCTCAGAAACTAAATCCTCCTCCGAAACTAAATCCTCCTCCGAAACTAAATCCTCCTCCGAAACTAAATCCTCCTCCGAAACTAAATCCTCCTCCGAAACTGGGTCTAGTGTAATGTCCATTTTCCTGTTATTAACAAATTCCATCACTTGCTCCTTAGGTACAGGCAACACTCGTACAGGACACCCTTTAAGGATTGATTTATCCAAACCAAGGGCTCTTGTGTAATCATTGTCCGTTATAAACATTACAAAACAGTCTCGTGTTCTACAGCCATTTTTGTCATACACGAATGTGATCTGAGAATCGTCAACAAGATCGAACAAAAACCTCTTTATGTGCCGCTTCTCAGCATGGCGACTCACATTCATTAGGCGTGCATAAAACTCTTGGATATACAATGTGTGAAGTTCATCATAGGGTGGCTTTGACCTGCAGCAAGACATACTAGATGCATCTTTCTCCCAAGCATCAACTTTGCCACCAAATTTGATCCATTCTGCCTCATCAGATTTTTTGATAGATGTGACAAAAAAACGCCTTTCATGCTTGAGATGTTTACTGGGACCTTTGCCGTTCGACAAAGTACAAGAGAGTGCTTTACATGCATGTCTATGTTTAGCAAATTTAACAAGAGCCTGCCCATTCCTTACTTTGTTTTTCAGTAAAAAAATTACACTCTTTACAGAATATTTTTGGAAAAACCTTTTCACATCAGAAAATGAAGCATGAAAGGGATGCAACGATATGCGTACATACCCAGGCTTTCCCACAGACCTACGGTGGTGTTTTGTATGGGCCTGCTCTGCCTTGCTGTCAAGAAAAATTTGGATACATGAATTCATTAGAGGTCTCCCAGACCTTTGGATTGCATGGTAAGCATCTTGAGAGGTTTTAAATGTAACAAATGCCTCACCATCCACCCCACCAATTATAGTAACACCTCCAGATGGAATCTTCAGTCCAGTAAAGAACCTTCGAATGTGAATGGAGTCTGCCAGTGGTGGAAGACCTTGTAATCGGACCTTTACTGACATTCTTTAGCCTCATGAAATGCTTTTCCTGTTGGCATACAAAAAGGGTACATTTTTTAAGTCTGTCACAAACAAAACTTACATTACAAACTACGCGTTGTCTGTGCTTTACTACATATACCAAATTAGCCAGGAAACTAGCATTTTAGGAGGAAACCAGCAATGGAAGCCCCCATATTTCCTATAAGTATTTTAACTCATGAAGAATGGTCAGGAGGAACGGAACTACGTAAACTGTACCCAAAAAGGGGAAGACAGAGGGCAAAAGACTGGCCACCAATATTGCCTGTGGTCTTCCTGCAGCTGATCTTTTCTGCATTAATGGACTTACAATGACCTGTCCTGCAATGTCTCTCTATGGACGAGTCTTTTTTGGTAAAGGCAGGATTTTGCTTTCTCATGTCAGAGCCTCACGCGAAGGGAGTGTAAAGCAGCACAGTAGGGATTTCACAAATAGCAGTCAGTGCCTTAGATCTCACACTATAGATATACAGCTATGAGGCTGTAGGTACAGGACTGCCTAAGCACCCTTACATAATAGGAAGTACACTGCTAGTTTTTTTGGAAGAACTCAGAACAAAAATGGTACATTCTTTCCGGGTACCGCTCAGGCATAATTACCATTACTATATGGTTACCAATAGCAAATCTTGACTGGGTTCAGTTCCTCATTAATATTTATCCCCCAGCAGCATAAACAATAACATGATCCCATGTACCTCATCCCTGTTGTACACCTACATTTCCATGATGCGCTACAATTCACAGCCTGGAGTTTAAATACCAGGTCCCTCTGTTTTCCCATCCACTGACCCCTATGTTGCTACAGGACACAGTAATGACATTGGGGCCTAAGGATAGGAACACAAAATACAGCAGGGGACCACTCATCTGTCACACCTGGACATGCATCCTCTGGAGAAGATCTGTTAGGCAGCAGTCTCTCTTGAACATAGAGAACATCAGAAGCTTGGGGAGTGGGACAGACAAGCCTGCTTTTACATTTTCAAAAAATTATTTGTTAGGTGATGACAAAGTTGCTTTAAAAGGGTAATTCCACGGTCCCAGGTGAATTTGGGAAAATGGAATTGAACCACCACCCCTCTGCCCTCACCTATTAACCCCTTCGTGACTGACGACGTACAGCGTACGTCGCCAGCATCGGGGCTGTTTAAACAGACTCCCGGCGACTTTTGCCGCCGGGACTCTGTTTAAACTTGTAGAGCTCTCCTTTCTCACTACGGCCATTGTGGCTGTAATATCCATACTCCGTACACAAGATTGCAGCCCTGTTTGCAAATGGAAAGCACTCATTGGTCAGCAGGGAGAATAATGGATTGACAGGAGGGGGTAATTCCATTTTCCCAAATCTGCCTGGGAAAGTGAAATTACCCTTTATGGATGGGTGACAAGTGACAATTTAGTACCAGGACAGGACGTGGATGGAAATCCCACCAACAGGGACTCAACAGCAATAAAAACCTTTTTTATTACACAGTATTGGCTAGAACATCAGTCAGCTTTTATATCTGCATGGAAGTTTCATAAATTCACCTGACTTCCTTTCTCAGTGATAAGATGACTTGAGGGGAAAATTATTTGCCACAGATGACAACAAAAAAACACTTAACAAGGAATCTAACCAATCCCTACTCTACCCAATAAAAAAAAAGAAACGTTGACTGGAATAACCTGTTGCCTGTTAAACATTATTTAATAACGTACATAAAACCGACATATACTTTTGAACAACATTATAGACAAATTCTGACTTGACTTCTGCTGGTAGGTTCAAGCTCCAGCACGCCTCTTCTTTTAAACAGAAAGCTCTTAGAAAAAAAAAATTTGCTTGTTTAAACATTTTTAATTTTGGGTAGAGTTAACCCGTCGGCTTTTTTTTCTGCCACCTGTGTCCCACTGGGGAGATTTCCCTTCACTTCCCATCCCATAGCCATAACAGGAAGTGAGAGGAAATCCCTCCGTAGAGGGAAATTCACTGATAGCAGGGTCACTGGAACTAGTGTCCCCACTACAAGATTTATCATGTATTCCTGTTCTGATGGCAACTCAGAATTTGGGAGGTGCGTTGCAGCGCCATTCATTTCAGTGGCACACTAAATGCATATCCCACCCACAGTATGATCACCTGCACCGAAACATGCGGTACTACAATGCCATGCGTTCCAGTCCAGTGTGATTGCAAAAAATTGTGCATGGAGTTTTATTCTGAAGTACACTTTATGTTTGTAACACTGTATTTGATTTTAAATTGAAGATGGTATTTATTTTTTTACCCGATTAATCGAAAAAATAATCAGCCAACTAATTAATTATGAATAGTTATTAGTTGCTGCCCTGGTTCTCATTGCTCTCCACTCTATACAAAATGAACCATCGCCTAGACCTGACAACGCCACTGAAACACCCATAGGAAGTGTCAGGAGTACATTCTAGTATGGTTTTAAGGGAGGCGTTTTATTATGTTTGTGCATTATGTGCAGTGAGAGATAAACAAGTACAGCTTTCTGTGAGGCAAATGCACTAAAACATGACTGAAATGCATGATAAACATTTTCTTAGCTTCCTACATTCACTTCCATGGAATTGAATAACGGATGCAAATGCGCAAAAATGCTACATGCCCTGATTATTTCTTTAATGCTCAGATCTGCAACACTTAAAGATGTGAAATAGACATCAATGGGACCATTTATAGTTCTTTTTTCTAACAAAATGTAACCATTGGAGTATTTTCCCAATTTAATCCAATTGTGTAATTCTTGAGTGAAAGTTGTGTGAATCTTATGTCAAAACATTTATAAAGACACCCAAGTAATGAACAAGATTTTACCTGAACTGTTTCACTACAAAGAAAGTAACAATAGATACATCACCAAACTGGTGATAGTAAATATCTTACTATCAGCAGTGTCTGAATGAATGGGGAGGAGCCTCTGTACTGAGTGCTTCCCATTCATTCAGTGCTGAGACTGCTGAAAAAGAAATTGAGGATTTGGTGTCCTCAATTTATTTTCTATTTTAAAAGGGAAAGGTCAGGGGTCTGTTTTAAAAAAGACACATATTAGACAAGTGCGAAGACTAAAAATGAATTTCAGATGCACGAAAACTAAAAACGTTTTCATTCGTTTCATCAAACAAAACACATTTTTTTGCCATTTTGGATTCAGCCACTGGCGTGTTCTGGAGGCAGGGCGCATGACATCATATAACACCGCACGTGTTGGGCGCCGCCATCTTAGTGTATATCTAGGTATACACCAAGATGGTGGGGTCAATATCGGCGTGTGACGTCACCTGTTGCCACGCATGCAAGGCTCCCCGCCTCCAAGATGGTGGCACGCATTCACAGAACACGCCGGTGGCCAACATGGCCACCGCACATTCTCAAACAAATTATTATGTGCCAGAATAAATTTTTCGTATATTCGGACATATAGTAATTCATTCATTTTACAAGTAGTCTAGGTTTTGTGTTCTGTTTTTTATTTTTACTTTTCTAGATATGCTTACTTTAAAAAAAATCGGCATGATAACCTGACACTTTATTTTTATAGACTCTATTTTAGTTTGACATTTATTGTTTGCCTTCTTTTGTTTTATTTGATAATACTTATATTGTGCCTACAAGTTTAATACCTTTGAATAAAAGTTTTACTTTTATCATACTTTTTAATGTTTCTTTGCGGCTTAACAAAATTGGAGTCTTTAAATGGCGTGGATATTGGGGGAAATGGGTGTGGTTACTGGGGGTGTGGCCACTGAGGGGGCGCTGTAAAGGTGGCCATACACTTTACAACCATCGCAAGACCTTAGTCTTGCGATGGTTGTAAAGTAATTAAAAAAACGTACGATCTGCCCATCTTGGACGGGCAGATCGTACTTGCGATCATCGCAAGCCTGCCCCGCTGAGGGGCGAGCTTCCAATGACCGCAATGCTGAACGATAATCACACAGTGTATGGTCACCTTAAAGCTTTCTCGCACAGGGTGCCTAAAGCCGGCCCTGGCTTTGTCCTGCATGGACCCAGCAACAGGTTCACGTTAAAGTACAATTGTAGTTGCATAGCAAGCTGATAGTGAATAGTGGCAGATCATAATTTCTGGTTATAACAACTCATGAAAGCTCCTCTACATCCACCTGAGGCTCCTCTATAACTACTGACTTTGCTAGATTTAATCTGGCCACACAGTTGATTATTCATCTGATAGTTTCAATTTCTTTAAAACGACATATTTGGTCACCATTAGATGTGCCCGCACCATGAGTACTCATGCCTGGCACTAAACTCTGCATTGTGGTGAAGGTATGTGCCTGCTCTTCCCTTACCCCTAAATGTAGGATATTACAGAGGGCTTTTCTGGCACGGTCAGCAGGATTATTGTGGAAGATATGACGTAGCACCTATTATCCAACACTTAGCCCAGTGCTTCCCCCCCATTCCCAGCCTAAAGCCAAAATTAGCCTAAGGATAAAAACTTGTCCTTTGCCGGCATGCTACAGAGGACCCTCACTCTCTCTGGGTAAGCAGTGGTCTCTCTGCAAAGGCCCAACACACCCCATGTTGAGTCAGAGCTCTCTAACTGATGGGCAGCATGTTGTTTGCTGATTGCAGAACTATAGGTCTAACTCTGTAGGGGGCATGTGAGACCACTGCTTACCCAGAGAGAGCAAGGGATGTGCTCTGCAGCTGCTGGCAGGGGACAGGCTTCTGGAGGCTTTACAAAGAAAAGAAAATGTAGGACATCGAACACCTTTTGCTTTCAGACACCTGGGAAGTATTTAGCTGATGTAAACCCACCATTACCACACACGTGGAAGCAATCACCTCCCAGAAAAAGCCAACTCAAGGAGCATAACCATTACCCCTCCACAGGTACTGCGGCCCCTACTCTGACAGCCAGCAGCGGAGTTCCTCCAAATCATACAGCGTAGTACGGGGGGCACAATACATTTTCCCTCATTCAGCTCATGGACCATTTTAGCAGGCTGGGGTCACATATGTTCAGGTGATGGGAGGTGGTGCCTTGCATTATTTTTTTTACTTTATTGAAAATTGTCACCAAGTGACATTTCTATTCTGGTTACTTCAGGTGGGCTGCATTGTGGAAAAACACAACTCATCTGCATATTTAAAAGAGAACTATGGGGTATATTGCTATAAGCTATTGCTCACTATATACGAAGATTGCCACAGCCGGGACAGATCCCGACAATGCTGTCCAGATCCACCCAGTTGGCTAATTGGCAGCGGCCTCTGCCTATCTAGAGGCAGAACCAGATGTTCCTGCCCCCTCCCCCGTCTGTCCCTCCACTCAGTACTGGAGGATTGGAGAGGGAAGAATCCCTGCGGGGAGCGGTGACTGACAGTCACGGCTCTCTGCAGGGAGATGATTGGGAAGTGAGCGAGTGACGGTATGTGTTCGCTCACTTCCCAACCTATAGAGCTGACATGTGACATTTTTATTGTTACAGGTCGGCTCAAACTATGAGTGTAAATCACTCACCTCATTGTTCTCCTTTAAAAGGGATATTCCACTTTCCCAGGTGAATTTGAGAAAACAGAATGACCCCTTCCAATGTGGCCCCCTCTATACTTACCTTTGGGCGAATGATCCTTCCCCTCTGCCGATGCCAGTGTATGAACCCCTTACTACCGTCTAGCACAGCCCTGCACTCTGTATTTTGAATTTCGCTTTCAATTGGCAAGCACTCATTTGGTGACTGTTGCCTGCATTTAAAATAGAGAGCGCAGGGCTGCGCTACACAGCAGTATGGGGTACAGATAGCACACCGGCAGAGGGGTTGTGTTCAGCTAAATGTAAGTATAGCAGGGGGAGAGGGGGCCAGATTGGAGGTGTAATTCCATTTTCCCAAATTCACCCAGGAAAGTGGAATTTACTTTTCACCAACACACTGCAACCAACCTGAAGGCTGCATTGAGGTGTGAACAAGCAACAGTTGTGTTCTAGGGGGCCTTGTGATCAGCCTGCAGAGTAATGCAGACCAATGCACATGGTGTGAATGAGCCCTAACAGCCCGAAATTGATCACGCCGGCCCTATGGGCACCATCACACCACCAAGAAACAGGACAGGGACAGGCAACCACATCAGCTCTCCCTCGCCGATCCCCATCATGGAGGCCCTCCTGTATATACAGCACATTACCTGGGCATAGGACAGGCGCAGCATAGACTACTCTACATCAACTGAAATAGGCAAAAAGAAACCCTGTGACTAGAGCAGCTAGAGACAAAATACCCTCCACACTTAAAGGATAACACCCACCCTGTAAATGCTTCTTCTAAGCAGTTCTCAGCACTGTGTTCCGTCTGCACTAACTCTTCCCTCTCAATACCACAGATACAAGTGAGGGGAAATCCTATAGCTGCGACCCGGAAGCGCTGTGGCGGAGCAAAAGACGAACAAACTGTCACATTACCGAGAGTGTGCAGAAAGCTCAGCCAACTCGGTAATGGCGCCGCAGGTAAGCGTCGTGGTTACCGCGCATGCGCCGGATAACCTGCAACCCTTCACCCCTTCCTATTGCGTGCGACAAGGGCGTACCAATCGAGCGCCGCTCTACGCAGCGTGTGTTGCGCCTGCGCAGTGTAGGCCTCCCGTTATTTGTATTTATTAAGTGTAATAAAACGTCCTGTTTGTAGTGTCTCAGTGTGTTCATGATCCTGTTGTTCTGTCCTGTATGGACACGGCAATAGGTTCACATTAAAGTCCAAGTGCACAGCAAGCTGATAGTAATAAATAGTGGCAGATCATAATTTCTGGTTATAACAACTCATGAAAGCTCCTCTACATCCACCTGAGGCTCCTCTATAACAACTGACTTCCGGGGTGACTGATTCCCTAGGCTTGTGCTGACCATACAGTGATAATAAGCTGACAGATTATCATGCAGCTGGTAGGGTTACACAATGTTTCCTTTAAACTACGAAACACCCATATTTAATGTATGGTCAGCATGAGATATTATTATTATTATTATTATACAGGATTTATATAGCGCCAATAGTTTGCACAGCGCTTTACAATATAGATATGCCCACCCCATGAGAGTACTCAGGCCTGCCACTAGGGTTGCCACCTGTCCAGGATTCACCCGAACAGTTCGGGTTTTGAATGCTGTGTCCGGGTTTCATGCCAGCAGAAACCCGGACACAAGATGTCAGGTAGACAGGGGCAACTAAAATTAAGATAGGGGCTACTGGCCCCACACTGAAAATAGTCTCAGCTCTGATATTTACATAGGAATGGGCGGTGCTATTTTCATATGAATAAGCCACGACTCATTCTTCCTAAAAAATGTTTGCGTATCAATAGAGTGTTCGGGTTTCGTTTGAAGAAAAGGTGGCAACCCTACCTGCCACTAAGACACCAAACTCTGCATTGTGGTGAGGGGAAGCTATGTGTCTGCTCCTCCCTTAAAGTGACACTAAACTCAGGAGTTACATCTTAAAAATGCATTCAAGTACCTTCACTATTAACAATAATGGGGGGAATTTATCAAAACTGGAGCAGACAGATTCTGGAGCAGTTGCCCTTATCGAACAATCAGCTTCTCTCTTCAGTTTACTTAGTTAAGATTTAAAAATGAAAGAGAGAAGCTGATTGGGTGCCATGCGCAGCTGCTCCAGATTTTGTCTGCTCCTGTTTTGATAAATTCCCCTCAATGTATCTTATTTGTGTATCACTCGGCTGTAGATCCTCAAATCATCTCTGAATTGGTGCTGACACTGTCCTTCCTTCTGGAGGGGGGCTACTTGTTCCACATGGTCCCTGTGCGTGTTGTAAAGTAGCCACCACTTCAAGCTCACTCCAATGATTGACTACAATCTCATGTTTAGTTTACTAATTTGCATTGAGATTGTAGTCCATCACGGGAGTGAGCTTGGAGTGGTGGCTACTTTACAACACGCACAGGGACCATGTGGAACAAGTAGCCCCCCTCCAGAAGGAAGGACAGTGTCAGCACCAATTCAGAGATGATTTGAGGATCTACAGCCGAGTGATACACAAATAGGGTCCGGTATTGATAATAGTTAAGGTACTTTAATTCCTTTTTAAGATTGAACTCCTGAGTTTAGTGTCATTTAAACCCAAAACTTCAGAGGACTTCAGTGAGGGATTAGATCACCCGTCAGGTTTTTATTGCTGTCTGTGTCCCTATCAAGGTGGCCATACACTGTACAACCATCGCAAGACCTTAGTCTTGCGATGGTTGTAAAGGGATTAAAAAAACGTACGATCTGCCCATCTTGGACGGGCAGATCGCACTCTCGACCATCGCAAGCCACGTCCCCTGAGGGGCGGGCTTGCGATGACTGTAATGAGGGGCGGGCTTACGCTGACTGCAAACGGGCAGTGTGCACGTGCGCACACCGGCCCGTTTGGCAGTTGTCGAACCAGCAGGCCACCAACTCGCCGAGAATCGTACGATTCCCGGCGGGTTTTCAAACATGCTGGTTCGATGGAAGACGTGCGACCGTACAGTAGAAACGATCGCATGCCTTCCATACACTGCACGATTCTCGTACGATCGTGGGATTTCCCGCGATTCTCGTAGAGAATCGTGCAGTGTATGGGCACCTTTAGGGAGATTTGAAGAGAGTCAAAGAAAATCCCAAATTTTGGGTTGTCATCAGAACAGGAAAAAATAGGAAATCCTCCAATTAGGACACTAGTTTTTGTGACTACCAGGGATTTCCTTCTCTTCATGTTATGGCTATCAGACAGGAAGTGAAGGGACATCTCCCCAAGGGGGCACAAATGGCAAAAGAAAACATACAGGTGTTATAACCCTCCCTTACTCCAATTTTTGGCTACAGTTCTACTCTCAGCTGATCATGCAGGGAAGATTCCCCATCCACACATGGCTGAACAAGAAAACACACTCCGGGGATGATTTATCACCCAGCTATACGAGTCACCTGACTTTCCTCCTACTAGACGGTGCTGACGAGCATTTCCTCCCAGAGACATAACCCTCTTGAAGTATGTATTAAGCCAAAACTTTATTTATTTGTTTTAGATATACAAATATTTAAAGAGGAACTTCAGGAATTAAAAAAAGTAACCCTTGCACTGGGGGGGGG